TAGATAGTGCAAAGGAAAGTAATGAGAAAGGCTCGATGACCACAAACTTTGAACAACTGTACCTAGATTTATGTGCAAAGAAAACCTGCCTGAAAATTGCGATTTGGAAAATCTCCCTCGTTGATTCCTTTGACAATAAGTTTGGTCAGCATAGGAATATATACTCCAGCGTAAGATTCACCACCCAGGAAGAATGTGTGACTGTTGTACTTCGGTTGAACTCTTGAAGTATTTTGTTGGTGTGATTAAAGTGAGGTTACGTTGACTCTACCCAAATCTTTAGCTTAGCCAGCCTACCGAGTGAAGAAGTCTCTCAAGGCTACATAATTCTGGTTGGCTGTCTGGTCATCATTTGCGACAGAATAACTGTCCTGTGTCGTGTCGTACGAGAACCCAACGCCTATTGGAGATTCCAAAAAGAGGACATTCGCCTTCTGAAAATGACAGTGTGCGCATATCTTATATTGAATGAATTTAAAAATACTGATCACACCGAAAAAAAGTACCGTATTCCAAGAGTAGACGTTCTCGTAGAGCGATTGTCCGTCGAAATTCACATAAAATGGTCCAAGCTCCTCGAATAATCCCACGTATGAGGAGCATCCGGGTCCACCATTAAACCAGACAAGGAGTGGATCAGACGATGGATCGGACCGCGACTCTGTCAACCTCAAGAATTTTATTCATCTTCATTAAATTGGTGCGTCTCATATCTGACAGTTATCTGGCTGTCTTTGAATCTTATTGAGGGACAAAAGAACTTTTGGAACCTTGTTTTGGGCAACGAGACTCGCTGTTCACCAGAAAATTTCTACAGATAACCTAATTTCTCAAAGCGCTCTGGCAGTATTAAAAAACGCTGGTGTGAGTTATGGGCAGAAGTCTTGACCTCAAATGGACTCATCCGAAAAGCGTGTTCTGGCGAATGCGTTATTGATGGGGGTTCGCCTCTCACCCCAGAACGGGAGCTACAACAGGAGGAGCCACATGGCTGAACCTCCCCGCTCCAAGTGTCATTATGCTTATTGGAGACAATTATCTGGACGACCATTCCTTCGCAACCGTCTGCAAAACTATCCATAATCAAATGTAGAATCGTACTAGAACTTTGGGCGGTAAGACATACGGGAGGCACTTCGAAGCTGACTCACATGTAATGCATTTTGCCAATTGCCTTTGTCGTTTGCGTTGAGATACCCAGAGTAGGTCTTGAAGTTGGCTACAAACTGAAGCCCTGGCAGATCGACAATGTCATCTTCACCAGGCTGACCGAGTGCCAGTGAATAACGCAAGAGAAAAAGCTAGCACGCTCAGCTTCATTTCTGTAACTGATGAAAGAAAAAGAAGTAGACTTTAAGTAAATGGATTTAACAAAGCACCGTTCGTGATAAAAGGACAAATGATGAGCAGGGGATTTCGTAGCCGAATCCGCTGCTCACTGAGCCTTTATGGAGTCTTGTCCGAGGGACGGACTCCTATAAAAACGAGGTAATTCAGTCAGTCTTATATCTATTTTGAACAGGCACAGCATTCATTGTGTACAATGCAACGAGGGGTAGTATGTGGAGCTGGGAATAGGGGATCGTCAGTGCGTCACAAATAAGTTACTCCTTTGATCCGCCTGCGTGTGTTACTCGAATGTATGGCGCGATGCAGAGCTGAAAAAAACCATGCGAAATGAACTACTCCTCATTCCGTGGCGCGGGATTGTCCACGACAATTACACAGCAGGCAAATTTCGCGAATAATGAGCCTAGTGGGAAGAAAAAGAGATGCTTCCGGGAACCTGAGGGTCTTTTGTATTCGGCTCAGCTATTAGTTGCGCAAAAGCTTGCTCAGGAAGAAAGTGACGGCTTTTCAGCTAATGGGAACTTGTATGTGACTTGTTTTTGTACAACGATTCCACAGATACGGTATTTTCTAGGATTGGAATCGGAAAAGTTAAGCACACCTTCAGGATGCCTACGGCAGACTCGTCCGGAACGTTTTTGAGTCATGAAGAACGAAGGCTTTTCTTCGCAGGTTTTTGACCGTTTCACTTCGTTTTTTCGCCATTTTCCCTCTATACAGCACCCTGCTAGCATTTTAGACCGAGTACCAAATTATCGCGCTGTATGCCTCTAAAGACAAGCGGTACACATACATCCGGGATCATGGTCCTTGCCGTATTTAAAGACACATGGTACGCTCAAACACATTGAGGGTGTATGAGACTATCAGCCCCCCAGCTGTCGATGTGTCGTGGTCCCCCCGCCCAAACATGCCCAGGAATGGAGATACAGGACCGTG